GAGAGGCTGGACAGGGCCCGAGAGGCTGGACAGGGCCCGTGAGGCTGGACAGGGCCTGCGAGGCTGGACAGGGCCAGGCACTTCCATGGGACACAGGGTCCCTGCTGACCTAGGGAGCAGCCGTTAAGCTGAAGGAAGAGTCTGACCTTTTCAGTCTTTCTCTTCCCAATGTAAGTGAAGAATTTAATCTCTCTTTCAAAACTTCCATCATCCAATTAAAGGTCAGGAAGTGTCAGGCTGAGGGGCCAGTCCCTGACTGGCACGTGGGTGAGGGCCCCCGCTTACCTGAATGAGCAGGGGGTGCGTGGGCCACCTGTCGATGGTGCTCCACCTCATCCTCGGCTCCCTCCCGACCCCACTGTAGAACCTGTAGATGGCGTTTAAGCTGCTGCCTGCAATGGAGGGGGCGGGGGGGGCTCATTTAGGACATGCATTTGGAGGACGATGAAAACAGAAACTAAACTGCAAAAGACTGCGGTTAGAAGTTCCAAATAGATAACTGCTTTTATACCACATCAGAGTAATTATAGTCCAATACTTTATAAGCTACATATAGATTGAACACTGCGAGAGTTCTGCAGAAGGAATGCCAAGTTGGACTTTAATCAAACCATAGTCAACCATAACCACCACCACCAAAAAATAAACTCCTTCCAATATTTCCCATGTTAAATGGGCACTCTTGTTTTTAAAACGGAATGCCACTTTTTCTTCATTCATCAGAATATTAGCATATCAATAAAAAGAAAGTTTATTACGCAAACCTAGAAAGTGGGTTAAGGTCCATGAACTGATCCATTTACCCAACTGCATTCAAGGCTTGAACACTGGCAGCCGCTGCCTTCCAGCTGCCATCTGTAATGCGTGCAGACTGGCCAGTAACTCAAGGAGCAGGTGAACCGTGAGACTTCAATGACACCCGTGTTTCAGGGAGACACGAACTGCCATTCAAACCTCAAATGACTAAGCCTTTCCTTCAGCCCTCGGCTTGCCTGGCTGGTTTTTAAGGGTCACCAAATGCACCCTCGTTGCAGAAGCAAAGCCCTTACCTGTGGTTGAGCAGCTGTACTGAGGGTACTGTGTGAAGGCAACAGCTCTCTCAAGCCCGTCCCTCTCCATCTCTTCAATGGCTTCTTCAGTTAAAGGGTGGACATACCGGAATCCAATGTAGTATTTGTGAGGGGCTATCAGGAAGTCCATGTGGAAAGGAGAAAGTATTCATCTTAATATACGTGGAGTTGTTCAGCATAATGTAATGTTCAAAGAACCAGTAACAACTCCATTTCCTCCAACCTGGAAAAACGTGGGTAGCTGTAGAACATTCCTTGGACCTTATCCAGTCTTTGGCTGACACTAGGATTTTCAATGACTGTTTTCTGGGATTAAGCTCCTGTTTACTCTAAATAAGTTTTTAAAACTCGAGCTTCTACTCATAATAGGCTTTGTGTCAGAATCGAGAAGAGGGAGGACAGAAGAGACCCTAATTATAAGGTGCAGGAGCGGCATCCAGTTCCTAAACAACAGGCCTCCGGAAACTCTATGAACTTTGATAAATGACGATAGTTATAGAAAGGCTTCAGGTTTGTTCACAGGGTCGCTATGAGTCGTGCTCAACTTGACGGCAATCAGCAACAACAACAAGAAGCCACTAGGTTTATCATTATTATTATTACTAGTTCTCCTTAAACCCCATTTTCAAATAAGGAAGCAGTGACTCAGAGGTTACTTCCCTTGTCCAAAGTCACATGCAGTAGATGGTCCACCTGGAATTATAACCTGGGTCTCCCACCCCAAAACCCACACTCATCCACACCCCAGCCTGCTTCTTTCTCCACCAATTGCCTTAGACTTCAGTCACCAGTTTTATACAATGAAATACAATACACATAACTTCATATACATTGGAATACTCACTAAAAGTCCACTGAGAACAAGAAATTAAAATGACAAAAAAAAAATCACAAAAAACCCAAAGAGCGCTTAAACTGAAGGCATCAAGAGGCATTTAAAGTAATAGTTGTTCCTAGTGGCAAGACGCTGCACTGCAATCCCAGAGGTGAGTGTTTCAAATCCACAAGATGCTCTGCTGGAGAAGCAGGGACAATCTCCTCCTGTATCAGTCAGAGCCAATTTGACGGCGCACACACACACAAATAATAAAAATAAAATTTAAAAAAAGGTAATAGTTGTTGGCACTGAGGTAGCCCAAGCCAGTCGCCTGCACCTACTTATTCCCCTGTATCTCAAAAGCATATGCAATCACATGATTTCTTTTTTTCCTCCCACACTGCAGTGAAGTTGACCCTAACTCCCAGTGATCTCATGTCTTCAGAGCAGATCTGTGCTCCGGGGCAGAAAAGGGTTTTCAATGGCTGAGCTTCCAGGAGGAATCTTCCAAGACTTTCTTCCAAGGGGCCACAGGGTGCATTTGAACTTCCAACTTTTTTGTTGGCAGCCAGGTGTGTTAATGATTTGCACCATGCAGGCCCTCCCAAAATTTATTACGCATCTATAAAATTTTAAAAAACTGTTAAGTTTCCTGCAGTTACCTTGTCTGGTTCCTTGCCATTTCATCGGATTATATGTAATTTATGTGAAGAGATGACACTGAATGGGCATATTTAAATGCTAAATAATAATAAAATCAAGATGATGTCATTTCCCAAAGCATGAGCAAATACGGCAACTAACAACATTATACTTCATGTGAAGTGAAGGCACGGATGGTAGCGAGGCTCATCCGTGTATGTCCACGGACATCCCTCCATCACCTGATTTAAGGAATGATGAAACAATGGAATGCCATCAAGGGCAGAGCATTGTTGAGAAGCTTATATGAACATGGAATAGACTGTCTGAATTTTTGGTGGGGATTTTTAAAAAGCACAAGAAGGAAAGAGTACAGACAGAATCCTTTTTGGCTGCACATCTTTTGAGGCTTTCTTTAATGAGATCTGATGGACTGAGGTACATAAGACACGAGGATATGACCCTGTGAGCAAGCTTCTGAAAGACTGACTGTGCAAATATTATGTGGTTCCTGCTAAAACTGCCAACAGTCACAATGTCATTAAGTCCACTTTTAAACAACTGCGGGTGATCTGCACTGAGGTCTAAGTGGAATTTGCTTTCTAATCTATTTTGAGACAATACACTTATCAGACTGACACAGTCCAATCCCCCCGTGCTAGCCAGCCAGCCAGCCAGCCAGCTTCCCGAGCTGCTTTCCACCTGCGTGGTATCTGCACATCACAGTGAGAGTTCTCCAACAGTCCGGAGAGGCAGAGACTGCCGGGGCAGATAAAGGCAGGGTGGGAAGCCACCTTCTCAAGTGAGAGAGTGTTCTGGAAAGATAACGCGTTCTCAGCAGGCCATTCAGGGACAGCCTCCAGTGAAGCAGAGTGTGCTCTCGGACAGGGTCCCCGCAGCAGGCCCTTCTCACCACGGGGTCCCTGAAGCTGGTTCCTATTATCATGTCCACTTTAGAGCTGAGGTTTCCTGAGGTCAATAACCTGTCCCCAGGTCACACAACAAGGAGTGGGGAAGCTCGATCAGCAGAGAGAACTCTACTCTCATCCATTAGACCTCTCTAAAGACAACTGGCCTGCTTACTGGGCAACACTTCCACTTACAGCCTCCGTAGATAACATGACTCACACAAACCGCCAAACTGCAGACTTAAGTGTATTTTGGGTTTAGATTTCCATTCTATTTCGCGACTCTTTCTTTTACACTTCTCAACGAGTTCCTAAAATGACAGCAGAGCACCCTAACTAAGTGAAACCAATTCCAAGTCACATCTGTTGACATAACTCACTGAACTGGGTAATCTTCTAGGGAGCTCTCACTGCCTAATGGCAAGAAGCTGCGCTGCCAACCCAAAGGTATGTGGTTTGAATCTGCCAGCTGCTCTGGTGGAGAAAGATGGGAAATCTCCTGGTCCATGTCATCTCCTGCCTCTGGAGGGTCAGCTGTGTGCAGCTCCGGCTCGTTGGTAAACAACCACAAATGGTAAGAGGACAGGTCTGCAGAGCTGGCGGCTCTCCGGGCCTCCACATTAGCTATGCCAAACAACTCCTATTCCTAAAACACAGCAGCACGAAACCTTGATGTCGACTTGTATCACAGTATCTTGACTAAAGATGACTTTTCCTAAC